ACTGCCCAAGCAGGATTTCCTAATCAATCATCTAGAATCCACCAGAATGACTTCTAAGCTGACTTAATAATTAAGGAGGGTTGGCAGATTTGGTGGATTCTATACGAGTGGCAAAGTTGGGCGGGTAATATTGATCCAAGTGTGATTAAACTCATGGTTTGAAGCGTGGTATTCATAGCTCAAGTAGGTAAAACGTTGGCTTGCGTAGAAGGCCTTCCTTCCTATGCAGGTTCGAATCCCGCCGAATGCCGCGAGTTTTTTCACAGTTGGGTCAACTAAGGAAAGTTCAAATATTTATCAACGCCGCAGGACGGCATTCAGTGACGAGGCGCTGCGAAGTCAGAATCCAGCATCAGAGATGACCGTAGGTCATAACTCGTCTGCGATATGGGGTTCGAACGAGAATCCACAACATCGGGCTAATAAACTTCTTGTTCTGGCGAGTGCATATCTGTAGCTATCTTTCCTCCACATGTGTGCAGTTGGCAGACTCTGTATGTCTACCTACCCTGTTTATGAGAGAGAGAGAAAGAGAGAAAAAGAAAGCTTTATTTTGAAGGTACATATCCGAAATATTCTGCGAAAAGCTGGCTCCACTCACGTAGAGCAAGGGATATGGCGAGGTAAAAGGTCATAGTCTAGAGGCTTACATGATATCCACATTTGTTATGGCAACAAGTCGGATTTGAGCTTCTGCATTTCCGTTTCTACACATGTGAGGTAGCGCGCTACGAATGGGAGTATAGAGTGCTGATATGCCGATGCACGGCAAGACATATGACAGAAGCTCCGCTGCATAGTACGGGAAGACTTCGCAGCCATTAGTTCAGAGAGGATGGAGAGGGTGAGCGACCTCACCAAGAATACGATCAGCAAATTGCTTGACTGTTTTAAAGTGCCGCCGTATTATAATATCCGCAAAAAGCATAAGAAACACCGATAGCTGAAGAGAGCATTCGGAGGATACGTTTGAAAATGGCCAGGTATTTTTTTAAGTAAGGCTGGAAAATTGCTGGAGAGCAGTAGAGAATGAGGATGGAGGAATGCAGGCACCTATAAATCGCTAGATATGGGCTTTCAGT